TGAAATGTTTTTTAATTTATTAAATTTTTAAATAAGTACATTTCCTTAGGGATGTAGTGCAGTAGCAACACACCTGCCTGGCAAATGCAAGGCCCTGAGTTGAATTCCCAGTACCCCCAAAACACAACAGCATTACCTCTTTTCTCCCTACCAATCAAAATGCCAGGTAAAGTCCACACACCCTGCATGGGAAATCCTACTAGTCTCTCAATATAAAAACTCACCTTGCACAAGACACCCCCACTGTTCTATCACTCTCCTGCCTCTGGTCCTCATTCTGTTCACCACTCCTTGAACAAATTAATCTCTCAGGGCCATCACCTGGTAAAACTGTCCTCACCCACCATGGTGCAGGGTGGCTTTGGAGTGGACCAAAAATGGACACCCGACCCACGCAGTCCATCCACTGGCCACCACCTGCCACAGAGAGGCTGGAATGCAGGACTCTGAGGGTGGGGGCTGTTTACCTCAGGTAAGGAAACCAGCCCTGTTTTGTTTTGTTTTGTTTTTAACTGGGGATTGAACTCAGGACCTTGTGCTTGAGAGGCAGGCAAGACACCACTGAGCTAAATCCAAGGCCCAGACCCATTCATATTTAGACTGAAGAGTATCTCAAAGGTTGGCAAGAAAGTGACAGCCAAATGCAGCATACCATGAGAAGAGGGAACAGTGGCCCCCTAAGCACACACACATCCATCCCTACCATAAACCTGTTGATCACCAAGGTGGGCCAGTACCTTACAATTCCTCTGCTATTTCTCTGCCTTGTGTTCTTCTGTCACCTTTGAGCTATATAACTTTTATCATATTATTCACATCACCACAACTATGATCTTTGAAAGTAGAGATCACGGGTTTAGCTTCCTTGTATTCATCATCACACAATAATTCCGCAAAACACATTAGATAGATGGATGCACAGATGAATGGTGCATGGATAAGGGGTGAAGGGATACACAGATTCATGCATGGATGGATGTGTGGATGGATGTTTGCATACATGCATGCTTGTATGGATAGAAGGAGGGATTCGCAGATGAATGGACCAATGGATGGATGGGTGGATGGGTGGGTGGATGAGTGGATGGATGGATGGATGGATGGATGGATGGATGGATGGATGGATGCATGGCTGCATGGATGCATGGGTAGATGGATAATAAAACTGATATCTGGAGTGTAATTCAAAACTGAAAATAAAATTCTAACTCCTTAAAACCTGCAGTATGCTTCCTAAACTCCAACTCCTATCGTTCTCTACATGTTCCAGTAACACCAAATTTCTTCCAAATTCCCAAACATGCAGGTTCTCTTCATTTTTCCTGTCTCTATGAAAATCCTTTCCTCTCTTCTAAATTTCACAAAGACTTGCTCTTTCCTCCACCTCTATGAATTAAATCTTCTCCATAATTCATCCCAACCAGCTCCAGGCTTCCACGCTCCTCGGATATGCCTCAGACTTCCTCATCTCATACCTGCCTCCCCCTCTCCACAACAGCCTCACCATGAGGGTGAAAACCATCTCCCATCTCCTGGTATAAAAATGGGCAACTATGGGTTAACTGTGTAACTATGCTTGCTTAGGAAGATATATCGTAACTATAGTCACTACTGTAAAACAAACTCACTAGAGCAAGGCAATCTCAGAAAGCCCTGCCAATCCTCCTGCTCCCCCTTCACTGCCTCTTGCTTATGTAATTATGTTTAGATTGATGGCTGTTTTCCCAGTGACTACGGTTGCTGTTTCCCCCTCCCAGAGAAACATTAAGATATAAAAATGAGAGTAAACTTCTGTTTGACACTTTCGAGGAGACTTGAATCCCTCGAAGCCGCCGGCAATAAAGCTGATTTTGCTCCTGCTCAATGTGCTTGGTGGTCTGTCTAGAGACACCCCCCCCAGCAGTCAAACTTCAACCATGTTGTCATCTACAGAAAGATGACAAGCACTCTTGGTATGATGCTTTTAGGATGTGGACCCCAAAAATGTGAACTACAGGTAAAAATAATGAAAGACTTTTCAGCCCTCAGTCTAAGGAAAGACTGGGTCCATAAAAGAGTCATTATACATTTGAAGATGTATTAATATTATTAAATTTATTGCTTTAATAGAAAAATTGAGAATCTGAAAGCAATGAAGTGAACAGAAAACTACCATTTAATCTAAACTGAACCAAAGACAGAATGGGAGGTCAAATAAACTTCTGCTTCCTCAAGAAGTTACTCGGTGACTCTGGGCCGGGCTCTTTTCATGGTAAAGTGGATGTAGTCATGCCCACCTCATAGGATTAGACTGCATGTGCAACCAACATGAGAAAACGCATAATTACCTCACACTGTACCTACCAACAAGACATGCTCAGCTTTCTTAAAATTCACTATAATTACGTGGCATTACAGAGGACAGCCAGGAAAACCAAAGTGTGATGGCCCAGTGTTTACATCAAGAGAGACGTGGAGACCACACTTTCTCACTATGAAACAGTGCCCCTCTGCCGTCTCTAATTTCGTACTTTTCCAACATTTAGAATTTGGTTATTGCTGTACTATTTATACATAAGAAAAATAAGCACAAGCCTCACATACAAATCCTACAAGAATGATTTTAATAGTTACATACTGTATTATTCTCTACAAGTATGAACTTCTTTTATAACATTACCTCAATATTCTCCCCCACACCCCTGGTACTTGAGATTGAACACAGGGCACTCCAGCACTGAGCTACATCCCGTTTTGTTTTGCTTTGTTTTTGTATTTTGTTTTATTTTGTTTTCTTATGGGGTCTGGCCAAGTTGCCCACGTTGAGATCAACCTTGTGATCTCCCTGCCTCAGCCTCTCAGTGCTGGGACCACAGGCGTGCACCGCCCACACCCAGTATTCTTTAAAACCGTGTCCTGTATTCGGCAGAGTTTCTGCCAAATTAAAAGGGATAAAAGTGGTACATGTAGTGGATATGCAGGGTGGCCATGAATCAAGACCAAGAGTCCCTCGTGACACTCACACTGTCCTCTTTCACATAGGCCAGTCCCACAGCTGAGTCCTACACAGGGCTTCATAACCACAGTGCAAGTCCGCAGCTATTTCGTCCATCTCATTTTATGTTTTTTCTTTTTTTCTTTTTTTACATACTCTGCTTTTGACAGAGAAAAACTAATTATATAGTATATATTTGTATGTAATCAAAATATATGTCACAGAGAAATATAGTTATCTATTATATGTGTAATGACTGATTCAGATTTACATCATATAAAACAGTTAAGTCCCAGCCAGGCACGGTGGAACATGCCTGTAATCCTAGTATTCTGGGAGGCTGAGACAGGAGGATCACAAGTGTGAGCCTAGCCTGAACTTAGTGAGACCCTGTCTCAAAATTTAGAAGAAAAAAATTGCAGTGCTGGGGACTGAACCCAGGTCTTCTGCATTGGGTTCAATCCCCAATACTGCAACTTTTAAATTTCATTTTATTTTTTACTTGAGACAGGGTTTTGTTAAGTTGCTAAATTCCCTGGGCTGGGCTCAAACTTGCAGTCCTCTTTCCTCAACCTCCCAGAGTGTTAGCATTACAGACATGCACCACCACACATGACCATAATTTTTTCAATTTTTAATTGTGGTAAAATACACATAACATAAAATTTACCACCTTAGCCATTTTTAAGTATCCTGTTCAGTAGTGTGAAGTATATTTGTATTCCAGAACTTTTCACCCTGCCAAACTGTAACTCTATCCTATTAAACAGCTCCCTTCTCCTGTCCCCAGTGACCATAATTTACTTTTTTTAATGATTTTGACATCTCTATCACATATTGGTAGAATCATGCAGCATTTGCTCTTTTATGACTGGATTATTTAACTCAGAATAATGTTGTCAGGGTCCATCCATATTGTAACAGGTGTCAGAATATCCTTCCTTTAAGAGTGAAGACTCTGGGCTGGGGATTTAGCTCAGTAGTGCTACTGCCTGTCTCACAAGCACAAGGTCCTGAGTTCGATCCCCGGTACCAAAGAAAAAAAAAAAAAGAGTGAAGACTCCATTACTTTCAATAAAGTAAAAGTGAAAAGACAAACCCAAAGGAAAAAAATCAAAAATACGAAATGTCTTAATATTTCAAAAACTAAACTAAACTAAGTTCTTCCCTTCAGTTGCTCCTTTCTGAATGCCTGAGGAATTACATTTTTTTTTCTTGTGAGACAGGGTCTCACTATGTAGTTCAGCCTGGCCTTAAATTCATGGCAATCCTCCTCCCTCAGCCTCCTGAGTGCTGCGATTATAGGCATGCCCCACCACAACTGGCACACAATTATTTTTTTTTAAATCACATATTTCCATTTGTTTGCTAAGGATTTTCTTACCAATTACACGTTTGTCTGGAGGAAGGTTATTTTTTCAATTGAACCGTATAAAATTGCTGATATTTGGCACATTTGACTTAAAAATGGCAATTTCATATGTACCACCTAATAATTTATCTTTTTCTTTTAAACTCGTCTAAAAGATACTGCTTTGAAACTGGGTAAGGTTTACCACGCATTACATCCTCTAAACAGAGCTCTCAGAGGAGCCCAGAAAAGAGGCAGGGGCACCGGGGAGAAGGGCCAGGTGACATGACTGCAGAGCCACTGCTTCCTAAAACATTCACTCAACAGCAATCATTATTCTGAGACATAAAATTTGCTACATATAATAACTATTCATCACTCCTAAAATACTCAGTGCATGCAATAAATAAGTAAACATTTATTTAATCTCTTTTATACCAAATGCCAAACATTGTGACCTGCAAACATTATATCATAGAAAGAAATAAGAATGATTAAGCTAAAATATGTTGCAATGATGAGTGACTCATTGTAAATTTAAAATAGATCACCTGCCTTGTCTAATCATTCACACTAATTTTTTTTCTGTTCAGTGAATAAATGACTTTGGAGATACCCCAAAGTCTACCTGAATTCTTTAAATCATTTTAATATATCCCTCAAAAGTATACTCACATTCACTTGAACTTGAATGGACCAGTCACCAAGTACTGGATGTGAAGATAACTGGAAAGTTTTGGAAATGACTCCAAGGTCACCTTGTTGTGACAACCACTGTTGGATCAAATTGGACTTGGGATCCTAAAATAAAAACCATACATGTTAAGCATGCAAAGGCTGCCCTCGTACTCCGCATCCCATCTGTCAGAAAGAGTGCCCTGTGGCAAACATCCCCCCACACCGCAGCACACCCAGGACTCTCCCCAAAATAAGGTGCTAACACAAATTTTGGAAAATGCCAAGCCTACACTACTAAACAGACAAATCAAAATTTCTCCTTTTCTCAAATTTCTCCAGTGATTCCCCCGATTTGGGGCTACTGTTTAACTCTCAGCCC